AGATTTTCATGGTATGGTAAGCTGTAAAGTGCATTTCCACTTTCGCAGCCAAATTGGGATAAGACCTCTTTTATACTTGTTGCATATTCCCATTCACATTGTATAAGCTAAAAAAAATATTTTAATAAATGCTCCTTGCAGTTAAAATTTATTTTACTGCGGTTAGGGTTTCTTGCATTCTTAAGGATTAAAATTTCTACAGCTTCTCCTTCTTTGTGATGTTAGGAGGAGCTGTGAGGGGTGAAGGGTTAAATGATTACGAAACACAAAAAATCCCCAGCTTCACCTGCCAGCTAGCCTGCAACCAAACAAATTGCCCTGTCAACTGCCCAATTGCCTTAAATGATTACAACCCTGGCTTATGCATTGTATGTTGATGAAGTGAATGAGATAAACACAATCCTCAAATTTCAATCCTAAGTCTTTCTGTAAGGACAGATCACCGTGAAGGTGCTGAGAAAAAACTAGAATCAGCCATGTTGCCCGCTGCTACAAAACATCTAAAAGGTAAGAAAACATTTAAAAATATATATATTTTTGGAATGCTGTGTGAATGGTAACAAATAACAAAAACATATAGAAGGGTTTTCCTAAATTTGACACAATTTTGCAGAAGTGCAAATACACTTTAAAACCCATCTCTGGGGAAACAAAAAAACTACCTTTGCAGTGGGGCTGCCCCCACGCTGCAAGGGTTAAGTGCTTATTTTTATCTAGAGGACTGGAGTAAAGCAGATTTACTTACTTGAGCCCCACTCCTGCCAGCTCCCTCCAGGCTGCTAGAACAGTCACCACAGCCACTTCTTCCCTGGCCACCGGCGGCCTAAGGACCATTGACGTCATTTCGACTAATGCAGGTTCCATTAAACATGAGGATGCCAAGGGACAGTCCACAAGCCAGAAGAAGAAAACACTGTCCACGGGGGGTGTGGGTTTTAGGTAAGTTAATCTGCTTTATTCCAGTGTCCAAAAATGAGCACTTACCCCTTGCAATACGGGGGTAGCACCACTGCAAGAGTACTTTTTTGTTTGCCCGGAGATGAGCTTTAAGACTAGTCATATTGGGGAAATTTGGTAATTAGATTTTGTTTTCAGAGCCAAAGCCAGCAATTCCTGTAAGCAGCCACTATCCTCCTGTGCTACAGTTCTGCTGCTGGATTTCCAGGAGTCCACTGTGAGTTTAACTTATACCCAAATGGGAGCTGCATTCAGCTATACATGTTATCCAAGTAAAAAACTGTTGGCTACATAAGAAAAGACGCAGAGACCGTGTGAAATTGTCTGAAAATGTATTTTTTTCTTGAGTCATAAATGATAACCACTATTCCTTACACTTATAAGTCAACAAATATATATTCATTTACTAGAGAACAGTCACCTTCAGAGCTACGAATGTTCTCAGTTTTCCTGTAAATTAACAAAGAGAATAATTTACATTCACAATTCTTATTAGATTTGGAGAACATCCTGAAGTTGTAAGTAAACAAGCATTTGAGACCTAGATATCAAAATGCTAAAAAAATAAAACAGAAAAAACAATATCACGCCATGTCTTGTTAAAGGAAGTATCAGTGTTAATGCCTTTTCTAGGTTAAAACAGAAAAGCTTCTTTTTGGACAGCATTTTTTATTCTAGTTTAGAGGTTTTAGAATGTTTGCGTTTCATAAAACGTTATCATTATGAAGCATTTGAATAACCTAAAGTGATATGATCTAACCCAGATGCAGGCAACCTTGGCACTCCAGCTGTGGTGAAACAGAAAATCCCGTGTGCCTCTGGCTGTCAGAGTCTTGCAATGTCTCATGGAACTTGTAGTTCCGCAACAGCTGGCGTGTCGAGGTTGTCTACCCCTGCCAAATGAACACCTAGTATGCAAATACAGCAAAGTCAAATTGTATCAATTGGTCTTAATCAATGAAACAAACCTGACAGCCTTTGAGTGCAGCGATCTACATCAACCAATTACAAAAATGATTTCACCAATAAGCTGTAGGGATGAGCTCTGGTTCGAACCAAACCAGGTCCAAAGCTGAGCTCCTCCAAACACAGAAAGGAGATCCTTCTGCTGCTGCCCAATCAGCTGTAGCCGTGGAATTGCCTGCCAGCAGCTGCACGATTGACCTAATATGCCACATGGCTATATTTGGTGAATGACATTGACCTAATATAGCCATGTGGCCATATAAGTCCAATGATGTCAGCACAAGCTTCCAAACACCTTCACATATGGGGCAGGGAATGTCCCAGCCCACAGCTGATTGGTCAGGTGGCCCCATGTAACATCTGGGTTCAGAGGAGCTTAGGTTTGGATCAGGATCAGTCCGAACTTGAGCTTATCCCTAGTCAGATGTTTCTAGCTTTAAGGTTGCTGGATGGATTACTGCAGAACATTACTGTGTATATATAATGTAATGCCTTTCTACCAATTATTTTTATTTCCATGATTTCACACTGGGGAATATAAAGTATATGCAAAACACAGTTCCCACGTCTGAGTTCTATGCATGATCATTGAGCAATGCTCCACAGGCTCTTCAAATGTGCTTCTACTTAACTAAGTGGTACGGGCCCACAATACACACACACTCAGTGGAGGTCTATAGAACATGTTCCTGTTGAAGCAGTAGTAAACTGACACCACAAAAAGTTACATTGTGGGCCCTCAGGAGGTGTTTGCCATAATATGTTAGTATGTACAGCATATTAGCACATTATGGAAGACTTATCTTGCAGATGATTCCCTCCAGCACTGTGATGTCAGCAGTTTCCTCTGTCTATCTTCTTCCGGGTATGACGCCTTGCCAAAAAAATCAGACTTATTTCCACTTTGACTTCAATGTGTAATGTGGTCCTTTCTATACAAAGGATGCAGACTGACTTCTGTTTAATGAGCGGTAAACAGAACTCGGTGCACATGTTCCATGAGCAACTGAAAACAATTCCTGTTTGGACCTTTCCATTGTTCGATATGCATACAAACTATTCACTTTAAAGATCTTGACAGTTTATTTGAATTAAAATAAACATTGGGACAAGGTCAGCTTTAAATATGGTCAGAAACTTGTCACGGTTATATAATTCTGCCAATGCACAAATTAAATTTTTTTTAAGGATTGGGGACTTTTATTTTTATCTTAGAAATAACAAAACCAAATGTTTTAAAAAGAAAAATCACATTTATAAACTGCTATCTAACAGCACCATTATTTGAGAAAGGCAGTACCGGTTACTGGTCTTTTGTCCAAACCTGTACAGACAACATACATTTCACTTTTGGAAAAGTTCATTAATGGCCAGTTCAGAATATTCAACAATTTTCATGAGTGAAGTTACATTCGTGAGATGCAGTCAATTACAAGGAGCCAGAGAAATCTTTTAGGCACTTGGTAACAGGCCATGATGGTCAGAAGAGCAGGGAAGAGTAATAAAAGAACTGCACTAGAGATCTGTCTGTAAAGGTTCTCATTCATCCAGGTCATGGTATATCTGTACAAAATGAATCAAAGCAACTGGATTTGCTGTATTTTTCTTGAAGATGTTGCGCTGGTCATCTGACTAGCTTTCTCTATTCAGAATTGAGTTGAGAATTGAGTTGAGAAAGCTGGTCGGATGACCAGCGAAAGATCTTCAAGAAAAATACAGCAAGTCCAGTTCCTTTGATTTATTTTTTGCACATATGCACTGAAGATCATCTCATGACTTAGCTCACAGATCACATGACCAAATGGGCAGATCTTTATTAAAACTACAGCTGCCTTGTGTAAGCTCCAGGACGATCTTAGTCAGAGCTTACGCAGGGGTGACGACTCTCTACCTGCCCCCATGTGACAGCACTGATCCCTGATTGTCCAAATGCCAAGCAGCAGCACTATCATGTGGAAGTAAGAAGAATTAGAGCATGCTCTTCTATACCTAGAAATACTGGGTATTTCTCTTCACTCCCCTGAACAAAGTGTCTGGGTAGTGAAAAATAGGCTGGTATGAGCTGCTCAGTTTCATTGTAAGGGCCATGTCAGATGTGTTTTTCTATGACAACACTTTGCCAGTGGCAGAAAAACAGGGAATATAACTTCCATTATAAATAAATTGGTCAGTTTCTGCCTAAACCCATTTGCTAAAAATGAAAAAGTGATAGAGCAAGAACCACTGATTCAAGGAGAAGGGCAGGAACTCCATAGGGTAATGTAAGTTGAATTTAGTGATTTTGTCATTAAAGTGTTGCCAGGGAGAGGTGTCAGCCCTCCCAAAAGTGCCATTTCAATTGAGATCAAATGTTGGTCAGCTGATCAACTGAATCATCCAGATTCATATTTCTGGCACACCTCATGTTTCCTGTAATTTAATAAATTAAATATTGTATTTAATTGGGAGATAAGAGACCTTCACATTTTCAAGTCTTAACTGAACAAACTGAAGAGAGAAGCTGATTGGTTACTATGGGAAACTGCTACATATTTTGCCTGCTCCAGTTTTGATAAATTGCCCTCTGTATATATATTAAAACACACACATTTTCTTTTTCCATGAAAAGTGAGAATCCATGTGTGTTCTCATTAATGATTTTGCTCTTATTTTTAGACCCATCAGATGTCAGCACCCACCCACCCCCACCACCAGCAGTCAATCATCTCTCTGAACATTCCATCATACTCTTTTATTGATATCCACCTACTGTCACTCCTCATTGTTGATGCCTACTTGCAGTAACTCAACTTGAATTGGCAGTTGTCACATCTCTCTTGCAAAGCGCATTTTCATGACTTTCATTTCCCATTCATTTAATCAATTACACATTCACATACTCTTCTTTGCGATTGTTTTTCCTGGTTCTCGTTCTTTAAACTTTTATTTAAAAAATAAGTGCCGCATCCTCTTTATACAGCATTCTGGGACTGAAAAGGTTCAGCGAAACAACAAGTAATTTATTTACAAACGCCTTGATGCGTTTGCCAGTGCTGCAAAAACAGGAATTGATTGAAGGTAGCATAATGCCCTTGGTTTGGGTATATCATCAGGTGTTACATTAAGGCTGAGATGTAGTTCAGAATCATTTCATAACTCCATCAATGCCAGGAAGACTTGCAAACCCCTGTATTGCAAAGTACCACAAGTCTTCCTGGCATTGCAAGTGTTATAAATACGCAGAAAGCTCCCTGACCTTACTTTTGAGGCAGTTTGTTACAAACCTACAGATAACAATTATAGATGTCAATTGTGCTATTTTAAAGTTCAGAGGTCCTCCTGTGCATGGGTAATCTAGAGTCGGGTCACTTGTGGAGGTAGGCGTCTAACCACAGGTCTCCTGACTTTCTCAGTGATCTAAAGACAGGCAAAAGAGAGTGTTATTATGAGATAAGATCAAAGCATAGTAAGAAAGAAAGTATGAACACAAACATTATTATTTTTTTCAGGCACAGAACAATCCCTACAACAAGGCAGCGATCCCCTTCTTCCCTCAGACTGTGCACCACCAGCACCAAATACTCCCCCCCCCCCACGCACACAAAAAAGTGTAGGGACACCCCTGATCAGGATCGAATTTTGGCTGTTTCCTGCTGAATCAGCTAAATCTGAACCAGAGGTGGCCTGATAAGCACCACCCGGCTCCACAAAAGTCTATCAACTTTAATTGAAGGAGGCAGGTGGAACATAATCGTCTGAACAGTGACTGCAGCCAAACAGAGGTATTCTGGCCCTGAAGTTGTTTAGACTGCTCTCAACTGTGGGCCTCTGTTACAGTATTTGGCAGAGTTTTGTATAAATTTAGGGCTGGAACAAAGTATGTTATAAGTAGGTCGGGCTCGATGTTGGAGCCGAACGTGAGTTCGACTCGAACATCGGCAGTTCCTGTGTTCGGCGAACACACGAACTGTCAGGGTGTTCGGCTGGATGTTCGCCAGCCCGCACCCCGCACGAGGCACTGTGTCTTCTGAGTAGTGATGGGCTTGGGCGTGTTCGCAAGTGCCTCATGCCGAGCCCGCCAGGAAGTCGTCAGCGTGCAGGGCCAATCACAGGCACTGAGACATGTTCCCGGTCTGCAGCTGCAGAGATCGGGAAATGTATCAGTGCCTGTGATTGGCCCTGCGAGCTGACGGCTTCCTGGAGGGCTCGACACGAGGCGCTTGTGAACACGCCCGAGCCCATCACTACTTGTGAGCCCTGATTGGCTAAAGCCTTGCACCTGACTAGAAGTCAGGTGCAAGACTTTGCAAAAATCAGGGCACAGAGAACAGTGAGAGCAATGATTGGCCAAAGTCATGATGACTCTGCCCAATCATGGCTCACCCTGTCACTTCTAGCTCCGCCCAAATGTTTATATGTTACCGGCATCTGTCAAAATGCCATTCAGCGGCGGGTGTTCGCCGCAGCGACTGGACGCCGCTTGTCGGGTTTTGTTTTAAATTATTATTTCTATTTATTTTTTTATTTTGCCGAGTCGTCGTCATCGTGGACAACGCTGGATGTCGTGATTGACGTTGGATTACTGCTCTTTCTGCTCAGAAAGAACTCTCAGCTCCAGCGTTACCCTCACACTAAGTATAAAATCTAAATAAGGGGCTTATATCTTTCATGAGAAAGGTTCAACATCTATAATAATTTATAGACCATGAAATGTTCTCTTTAGGCTGTAAGAAACATGCTGGACTTAGTTACAACTAAGCAGTCAACTCATTTGTAAAATGGAGAAGATTCTGACCCAACAACGTCCTTGAAGGCTTTCCACAGAGGTTTTTCTTCGTAGAATACATCGTACTTTTTACACAAAGAGCGCACAAAGGGAGCAATCTTGTAATAGTTGTGACGAGGCATAGTAGGGAATAGACTGTGGAAAGGAGAGAGAAAACACGAGGTTACATATGACACATGAGAATTGTGAGTTTTTGCATTTTACCAATCTGGTAACAATATCACTGTGGATGCAGCGTGCTGTTTGTATGAGCTCAGGCACAATGGTATTTCTATATCAGGGAGATGTGTTGTGTGCTCTGCATAACTGCCATCATTAGGGCAATGCTGCATGAAGACATATGGACAACATATCCCATGTCAAGATAAAAGTACCCTCATACATTAAAGGCCTCATGTTCCACCTGCAATGTCAACAGGTTTGGGCAACCATTGGGCAGTGTAAATGTTGTCAAAGCCCAACTGACCTTTTCCTTTTAAATCAGCTAAGTACATTCAATGAGCATCAAAACAAAAGTTGTGCAATATCTTACAGGTAATTTTCTTAACAAAGTAGCCACAGCAACGCAGAGTAGAAAAGACTGCTCCCGGCTATCATGCTGCAAAGAAGAACCATTGCTTTCTGTGTTGAAGATGACCTCCTGATGAGTCAGAACTAGAGCTCTTCAATCATGAGGGAATGTGAGCTTTGCTGATGGCAGAGCTATAGGTCTGAACTTGAAGGGAACTGGCAAAAGTGGAGATTAGCCAGCACAGTACATAAATTGTACATTAGTAGCCAGCACTAGAAAAAACAGTGTGGGGCAATGTGAGAACCTCTGTCAACCTCTGCCTACTGCTGTATGCGTCTCAATTTGGAAGACCTCTCCTCGCTTTCTTGCTAGGTGACTGGTGTCAGGGTATAAGGGAAATCTACTCTTTGGGGACATATACAGCATTAAAACCTAACAAGAAGTTCTAATCCACTCTATTTAAAACTACAAAAATGTTTTGAGTGAAGCACGGCTTTAAGATACATTCTGAATTATGCAAGGACTGCATGTAAGTGAAAGCATCATAGGGAGGCAAAATAAGTCAACTGAGCCCCATTGTGTACTTATCCATTCATGACCACAGGAACTGATGACAGATATAAACTAATATAAGATAATGTATAAAATATACTCACTGATGTTCAATTTGAAAGTTGAGATGCCCACTGAACCAGTCATTGAAGAAGGATTGTTCTATGTTGCACGTTGCTGCCAACTGAAAATGAACAGGTCTAAAATTTAGGTATAGATAGAAAAACACTTCACCCGTTTTATGTTGTGTGAATGGGAATATTTAGCCTGCGAATAACAGCCAAATAAATATTACATAACAGTCATTAAACTATTGTTAGTGTGGAAAGCTAATGGGCCACTGTATTGCTTATGGCCATAGTTCAGATATAAGATGCTTTGAATAAAGCTGAACTCTGGGCATAAAAACTTTCATTATACATAGCCTGCGCAGGGAGCAAAGTTGTGGGCTCCACCCACTACCGGCTGCCTGCAGAAAACTACAGGTGGGGGCAGAGACAAGACCAGTCACCCTGCACAAGGAGAGAGCAGCAGTGACAGGTCTACTAAAGAAAGCTCTTGCACAAAGGAAAAGTTTGACTTTAGATTACTGCACAAATATGGAAGAAACACACAAAGCACATCAAGATTTAAGTAAGAATACATGTTTAGATAATGTTTGCTTATCCTGGAGTTCAGCTTTAAACTGTATCTATATCCAAACTTTTTTTGTTTTGGATAGGCACGGAAGGGTTAGAGCTTCTGACATGTTGTTATTGCTGTCTATTTGTCCTGCTAACCATTGTCTGCAGGGCAGGAAGTGATGAGAAATGACATATTGTACAGCTGCCAGAGGAACAGAAGGTGAGGGGAAATCTACCAATACCAATATCCTGCATTGATCATACTCTACTCTACAGATGAAGTATGCTCCATCCAGGATATCCAGTTCTTCCATGAAATGTGATACACGTCTATGATTATGAAAAATTAGTCGGATTTGGATGGTTTCAGTCAAATATACATATATACTGTATGCATATGAGGCATATTCATAATTTCATAGGATACATACTTTTATTGAATTGTAATTGTGTATACAAAATAAAGGATACATCTTATTATAAAACATGGTGTTGCATCGTGGGTACCTAAAACAGTCTGTAGTATATATAAAAAGTGGTTGGAGCTATTTGAATGTTGGACATCCAAATAGAAAGAGATTAGGATATAACATAAGTTGCTACAAAACATGTGTGACATAAGGTGGCCATGAAGGAAATGGCATAGGTGGCCATAAAGATAATGACATAGATGGCTATAAAGGTAATGGTTTAGCACAGCAGTAGCACAGAGGCTTGGTGGATCACTGCGCTATCAGTCATTACTTGATGACAAGTGGATGGAGTTAATGGAAGACTGGGTGACTGCTACCACGTGCCTATTCACAAACCTTGCAAGAGATTAGAATTCATCAGTTAGTGACCTGCCATGACCTTGGCCTCCTACCTGACTGCCCAACCAGTCTCTGTATTTTTCATGATCAATCTCCATGGGGATATGATTCATCTGTGTGACCCACACAAACCAGTGCGATTCAAGAAACCTGCAAAGCATATAGAGGACAATGTTTAGAAAGGGAAATAACATGGGAATGATGATAAGGACGTAACAAGTCCAACGTTAAGGTATCAAGATCCATGTTCAGGACAAAGACAGAGTGAATCTACCTCCCCACGCTATCCAAATCTAAAAAAAAGGTTTTGCCTTTAGTTATATTTTAAATAATCAATTTTAAAGTTAGTTCTTTTTAGTTTTGTGAAAAGATTTTTAAAAAGTGTAAATAATTTCCTGACCTTTTCCATGACATTTTGCCACCATTTACAAGAAAAGGCTAAACAAACAATAAAGATAAACAGTACAATAAATTAACTCTGAGAGAGTCATACTGACTGATGTTTAAAGTCAGCCAGAGCTACATACCTGACCGTCGTGAGCAGGGCAACAGATCCCAAAACTCCAAAGTAAGGAACAAATGTGAAGAAAAAACGCATGTAGTAGGACAGCGACCAAGCCAGATCCTGTAAAATAATAGGAATAAAAAAATAGTTCAGAGTAAGTAAGTGTTAACATCCCATGAAATCATAAACGTGTGTGTTAGAGCAAGCTTCAACAGTCAAGACAAGGACAATCCATAACCTTCCACCAAAACTGCACCCAGACCAACCTAAATGCCTTCCATTTGTGATATATTCAAAAAGTAATAACATCGTTAAGGCCTGTGTTGATGGGCTTTGTGCTTGTGTCAATGGAATCAGTTTGATGTCAGTTTGAGATACAGTACTTCTGAAATCATTCAGAATTCATTGACAATTACATCCAACCTGCAGTTGACCTTCTTCTGACCTGCATTTGACCTGCTTCAAGCAGGCTTTCCCAGAGACCTTTATGGGGTTGCAAAGCCCATCAGACACTAACAAAATCCTATAGACACAGGCACTTACAATATCTTTATTATATATTGGCTGCTGTCTAAATCAGCCCTGTATGTATGCATGTGAGATATGGACCTTAGATTGTAAGCTCCTGGAGAGCAGGGACTCATGTAAAGTTCTGCGTAAATTGTCAGCGCTATATAAAAATACTGCTACTACTACTTCTACCACTACGAATAATAATAATAATAATAATACAAATGATTGGCCTCACACACAGTTGTCCATAATTTAAGGAATCTATGAAAAAATTAAATAATGGAGGCTACCATTAAAATTTTCTTCTTAAAATTACTGCCTGGCTGTAACATTGAGTCATTGGATTCAATAAATACTGAGTCACAACCTATTACAAGTAGTCAGATCAGGAGTTCTGACTTGTTTTTGGCTTAATTGCTGCATGCTTGATAAAGGTCAAAGGAATCAAAATATTGAGGCCAGACACAGCCATGCAACTAACAATTTTTAGAAGGAGGTCAAGATGGTAGCCTCCATATTTCTCCCGGAAACAGGTTGGCTTTAAAATACTTAGACTTGAAAACTACTTTTTGTAGGCAGCTAGATTTCCTCTGACCCTCTTACTAAACAGGCCTGAGTAGGTGTAGTCAATTCTTTGATTCCTATGGAGCATTACATATATAAATCCAGAGCTCAACTAAAGCTATCGCTTTCTATTTGGTATGTATGAGTAAATAAATATAACACCCTCATGTCTGTCTTTATAACACTCTGTATCTGGTGTTTCCCTTGCCTGAATAGGCTTTTATCTAGATCTAATCGTTGTCATTGATACCTTGAATTGTTTTATTGAACTCTTCATATAGCTGTACTTCCTCTGCAGTATAATGGTGTACTGTGTGATTGACTTAATGTCTACCGCAATAATTTCCTGTTTTGTTTTTGGTCTTTGTAAAAATCACTGGAACACTTCAAAAGGATCCAAATATTCTATTTAAAAAAAAAATACTTTGGCCAGACAGAAATACTTAGCACTTTTTGGTATGCACCTTGTGGTGTCCTATTTTTACAGCTACACAAAAGAGTAACTACACAATGTGTCATTATGAAGGTGGGAAAATAAGTAAAGCCTTCACATATTTATACATTTAACGTATCTTTTTATCTCCTCCTTTAATCTCCTATGGCTAAAATCCAGATAGCCCTAAGCCTTGACATGCTTTTTTGATTATTATTATTTCCAATGCTTTTCTGTGCAGATTCCATGCAAAGGTCATTTCACTACCAAACAGAATGTGTATTTTATATTGTAAAGTGTGAAACATGACCAAGCCTCTTCTTGGATTATGGAATCAAAATGTAGAGTGAATGTTCTGCAAGAACTTCAGTATTTTATTAATGCTGTACACAATGTCAGTCATGGGCCATTACAGCACCCACACAATGGTTGGTTTTGGTGTGGTGTCCAATGAGAATATGTTTACTGATAAAACAAAGATTGGTACATACAACTTACCTGACTCTACACACCATTAAAAAAAAAACATTTTTGTAAGAAATTAAACCCCCCAGGTGTCCCTGTTTGCAATACAGAGCTCATTTTCAGGGCATTATGTACAGTATAGTAAAATAGGTTTAATTTTAAAAATTATGAGCACATTTTCAGGACATGTTAATGATGGTGCAGCTAAGCAATGTTTCACTTTTCAGAAGGAATTTGCCAAGCAAACGTTACAAAATAAAAGCTGGAAACTGGTTACTTCTTTATGACATTCTTAACTGTTTGTGCCCTGTGTCCTATTGTACTTCATATTTTCAGTGTTTTTTGCTATGGATAGACTTTAAATTCTCTCTATTCTCTGGGGTTTGAACTGTGGATTGTTAATAGTTAATGCTATTCAATATTGTCATGTTTTTTATATTTGCTTTGAAATTTTTTTAAATTAATACAAATTATTGAAAGTGAAAAGCGACTGGTTACTATAGCAAAATTCTTCACTATTCAAGTTTAAAGAAAGTCATGAACAAATGACTAAAAACGTAAGTGTGTGCAAGTTAGGATGTTGTCCACACATTGAGATATCTTTCCAATACCTGTTGTTTCAAGATATGTGATGTTTAGGGATTGTGCAATGTCCCCTTCGTCAGCTGCGGGTGTTCTACTCTTTGAGTGGAAATTCTTACACCCAGATTTTTTACTGGACGTACATTGTTATGTGAAATGGGATAGCAGAAATCACTTACCACCCAGTCCTTGCGGATTATCATAGTCTTCATAATCTGGACTGTGAAATACACTGGGATCAGAAGTGGGGGACCAACTGCAGAAAACATAAATAGTAATACTTTTGAGAAAATTACATTTAAAGATCAGACTCTGCAAATCATGTTTGCTAGTAATGTTCTGCTCTAGAATGGTGGTTGTCATTTTTTTCTAACGGGTACACAGCATTAGACCAGTCTTCCCATGTTTTAACATTTTGGAATAAAACATGAACCTCCTTCTCCAGCCTGACCAAACCCCAAATACATCCATTATTTTAATAACAACATGACCTTTGCTGGTAGAAATGGCTTCTTTTGGGGTTAAAAGAACCGTGACTGTGCCACAAAAATAGGCTATTGTCTAGAGCAGTGGTTCTCAACCTGTGTAACCTGAGGACCCATATTTCTCCAAGGTCATTAAGTTGCGACCCAAGTCGCACTGCAATGGAATGCACAGCATTGCGGTGTAGCGTGTTCCAGTGCGGGCGATTAAACTGTGGGCGGGAGGTGGGGATGAATTGCAACGCAACTCACCACCATTACCAGGACGCGTAGTAGGTGCAATTACGTGGTACTGTGCATAAATGGCACATGACTGTTCTATTAACGCACTGTACTAGTGTGAACGGGCCCTTAAAAACGCTGACAGATACACACATCCACAATCTCACACACACATATACACACTCCGAAAAATTAGTATTTCTTTTTTCTTTTCTTTTTTAAGATCCACCCAGTCTCCCTACCTTATGAGAACTGGAAATGAGAAACTAGAAAAGTGGAAGCCATGCGGCGACCCACTGAACATTGGGTCGCGACCCACTTTTGGGTTACCCACCAGTTGAGAACCAAGGTTCTAGAGCAAAGCATTGATAAGCCACAAAATAATTAAGCAATTAAATTATAGTACATTTACTCACTCAGGAAAAAATACTGATGTTGGTGATTATACGGCAGGAACTTTAACTTCTTCTTCCCATACTGTGAGGAGGTGGGAGAACATAATTAGTCTAATTGCATATCAGTGTTAGATGTCATCCACAGCAGCCAGTTTATCAATATGTTAGATGAATACAATATTACTGAGTGACATAATTAACTTAAATCAATTTACATTTGTGATTATCAGAATGTCTTGGTTCTGTAGACAGAACTGCAGAAGAAAGAGATTGATAGGGCTGACATCACTGAATGGTTCCAGATTAGAAAGTCATGTAAGAAGTCTAACCAAGCAACAGCCAAAGACCATTCCAAAATAAAAATATATTTAGTTAGGTTTGCTCTCACACACCAACTCAAGACTGAGAAATGAGGTCAAGATCAGAAAAAGCTTCTGTACCTACTGCTTCACTTATCTCTTATTTGACAAATTCATGCACACGGGAATTAAAATACATATTTTCGGGTTCAATTGTAACTAGTTTCATGACCAATAACATTTATTTCATAACACATAAATACACAAAATTAACCTAAATATCTTATATTAAACTTTCCACATGCACAAAATTACAATAATCAATATACTGCACCCATTCAAAAATGTACCCCGTTAATGAACAGGCATACATTTGCCAGTAAATGATTATATGAAAAATTGCAAAATGATATATGACACATACCTCCACAGGCTGGGTGTCACCCAACACAAAAATGTGCACCATGTTCACATCTGGATCCTTGCTGAATATATTAGGCTTGGCGTGGTGCTGAAAATGCCGATGGTTCCACCAGTTGGCTGAAGCTCCCTGATGGCAGATGGGCTCAAGTAAGCTAAGCTTCAAGATTAAATATCAGTACAAAGCTCTACAACCCTCACAGCTCCCTAGATGTAACCCGATTTTGTGAAACTCATGTTCTCTATCAATGTAAAATATTTGATGATATCTGCTGTAGATTGTTTCATTGTACTTGTAATAATGAAATAAACATGAATACAAAAAATTTAAAGTGTGCAACCCATTAAGGGAAGAGTAATAAAAGTGGGCTCATCTGTTTCAACTCATGCACCAGAGCTGATAAAGTATATGGAGCATCTGAATCCTTTTGCGTGTTCTGGCCTCCCTGAAACAGATTCCAAAACAGCTGATTGGCTGAAAAGGAGTCCAGTTTATTTGTGAAATTTTTTTTTTTTTTTAATACCAACTATAATACATTGCATTAACTACTTTCTGTGCAATTTCTTTGCATTGCATTTTTAAAGACCCCTTTTAAACTGATACAAATAGAAAAATGCAGTTCAAACACACTTAAGATACAGCTTGCAAGACCTTTATGCTTAAAGGACAACTATGAGGTGAGTGAAAATCATTCAGCCTCATAGTTCGAGCTGACGTGTGACAATGAAACTGAGAAATTACATTTATATATATTTTATATTTCATAATTGCCACTTACAGGTAGCAGATGACACTCTATTGTCAAATGACTGTAACTTTTCTGCAGTGTGAGCAAGAGTAGGGATCTTTAAGGAATTCTATGAGTCTAAAAAAACAAACATCAGAAAAGCACTACTTCTGATGCTATGCTGAACCCACACAGAAAGGGGCTAACTCATATATGAATGCTCATTTACCTGGGAGTATTACCCCTTAAACTGATAATGTTATCCACATAGTATATGCTTTTCTTAAAATACCAGAGTATACTTTTTCTAGCTCTTTCTATTTGGCATCAGCAAATCTGTATAATCTTGTAATGTTTTCCTTATCTATGGATATTCCAGACAGATGCCATATCTAGGCCCTGAATCAAATTTCCATTGTAGAACAAATAATCCCCCTCTGTGACAGCACCTTCAGGTGGCCAATGACGAACTTATGGCCAATGTGATTCCATTTAGACTTGTTAAAGACAGATAAGTGTCCAAAGTCATGCTGCAGCCAACCAGCCTGGGCCTGTAGGGAAGAAAAAAGATCGTACCGTGAATATGTACATCCAGGGTGCTGAACTTTACAGTACAAAACTAATACCATTAAGAGTGTTAAGTATTGGGCTGATGTATAAAAACTGGAGAGACTGAGAAAATGATGGTGTTATTTACAGCAGCCAATCTGATCCCAGCTGTAGTATTCTTGTCAAAGATTGCAAATATGACAGTGCATATGTCCACTCTTCGTTTTCCTCATATTTTATACACCAAGTCCATTAGGTTCCTCAAACAATATTAGCTCATTCACCTAAACAAAGCAATTGGTTTATAATGAATTTAAATGACCTGAGAAGTTGCAAGGAGCAAAATGGTAATTATGGTTGGTATCCATCCATTGCCAAGGTAGTAAAGGTTAGCCCAGGCAAGAACCTCTAGGACCAGGATGTGCAATAGGTAAAGACTGAAGAACACCACGCTGCCTTTGAAAAGTCCCATGTCTTCTGCTGTTTTACGTAATTTCTGAAAGTCTTCCGCTTGCTCCCTCTGTATGAAGACAATATAGCATTAGGAAAAGTTAAAGTTCTGCAGCAAAATCTGTATGATTCTTTATATAGACATGAAAGTAACAATTTCTTAATGGTGACTCCAGTCAAACAAAAGAAATGTCTAGTTATTTATTTCTCCCATGGTGTGGACTTGCCTTATAAAATGGAACAAATATCTACTTTAATTTTACTGCCTGTTCTTAATAATACATTAAGAACAACCTAAGAGAATACAGATTTGAATTTGGTCGACTTGTACCTGTCATGGCAGATAAAGTCGTTTTAAAATCCGATTCATATAAAATGAAACCTCAGACTGTGTGCAGGGTTGAGGGAAAAGTACTACATGCAATTATAGACAGAAAAGTTGTAATGAATGACTATCTGGTTAGTGTGGTATGATCATTTTAGTGTTTTCTATGAACACTTCTGTGACACAGATATTGTAAAGTGTTAATGATACACTAAAAGGCGTAAAGGCGGCATGAAGATCTGTGATATTCACACCTCACTCATACACTAATTTTGACAATTTGTATCAGCTGTCAGAGGTGTTCTGTTCATTGCTTTGCTGAATGGAGGATCCTGCAGGACAGGATGAATATACAGTAAATAGGTATTATAAATATGGCATTTTTGGGCATTGATTGGGATGTACAATATATGTCAGCAAAGGTTTCAACAACCATGGCCATATGCACCACCATCACAAAGTTGCAGTGTCTGGGTACCACTATTTACACCAAGTGACCACGTGTCCCACCTTACACTGCCAGGATCCTGCAAACCTCTTTTCTTTGCCTGATTATAATGGAGGAAAGGAATTCCCGAAATTCAGAAATCAAACACCACACATGGAAGAAGCGCTGTGAAATCTGACTACAGTGGATTACACAGAACACGAAGAACGATCTGACTAAGGCTGGGTTCACACCTAGGCGTATCGAATATGCGCGTTTTTCCCGCGGTTCGCAGTTAAAAAAACGTGCGACAAACGCGCGTTTCCGAGGGCTACCTGGCTGTATCCCACTGGATACGCGCGGCAAATACGCCCCAAAGAAGCTCCTGTACTTCTTTGGGCGTAGGGCGTTTTGTAGCGCGTTCATACGGTCTGTAATACGCCCAGGTGTGAACCATACCCATAAGAAATAATGGGATTTCGGTGTTTGAGCGTTTTGCAGAGCGTAGGAACGCGCTACAAAATGCGCTACAAAACGCCCAGGTATGAACCGGGCCTATGGCCTGTTTTAAAGCGCGTTCCTACGCTCTGTAAAAGGCTCAACATGTGAAAACCAATGATTGCCTATGGGCATGGTTCCCACCTGGGCGTTTTACAGCGCGTAGGAACGCGTTGCAAAACACTCTACGCCTAAAGAAGTACAGGAGCTTCTTTGGGGCGTATTTGCAGCACGTATCAATTGGGATACAGCCAGGTAGCCCTCGGAAACGCGTGTTTGTCGCGCGTTTTTTACCGCGAATCGCGTTAAAAACATGGGGCACGAAACGCGCAACAAACGCGCATATTCCATACGCCTAGGTGTGAACCCAGCCTTAAGCACAATGGCAGTGTTTCATCATCATGAATTTTAGGGCAATGAGAGGCAAAGGTACAAGCATTATTGAATCAGGTTCTTCCAAGGACCAGGGCTTGGTAGCATTTCTTACCACTGCTCCCCTTGCTACACAACTGGGAAAGGTGAAGCAGCAGATTTTTAAATCATGGGAGACGATACAGAAGCCTGCCGCATTCCCTTGAGGATGAAGGAAGTGACCCAGCTGCCATGCCCACCTTCTACCTATCCAGGGCTAGCCGTACCATACGCTATAAATAGTGCAATAGACTAATTGATAAAGGAAGACTTTTACTCATAACAATAGCCATTTAGATATGTCTACCCACTGGCAAAGAACAAGCTGTACAATTATCATAGATTTGCCGTCCAGGCTCATGTTTCTGAAGAGGTCAGGGCCCAAGATAGCTTGACAATAATATTAATAATACAGGAGCCCAGAACAATAAGCACACATCAATAATGGAGAAAATAGATTATATTACTCAGCAAATGATATGCACAGCTAGCTTCATAAAGTTCACCCTTTCATATCCAGAATGGGCTGACTTTCACTTTGTAAGGAGAAACATCAGTGTAATAAAAATAACAAGCCACAGAAATCTGTACACTAATTAACACTTGTTTCCCAGTCTGTATCAGTTTCAAGATTAGTGTTCAACAGGGAATGTATTATACAAATACCACAACCAACTAGGAGATTGGCACTTTGGTCTGCCCCATCCTGCCCCCTTTTTTTTCTGTGCAGGAGGCTGGAGGGGACAGGACAAGAGCTGCCTTTCTAGTTGAACTCAGTAATTGTATAACATAAAGAGTTTACAAAGCTACCTTAGGCCCCGTTCACATTGAGCGATTTATCGCGCGGTAATTCCCGCGATATCGCCGCTATTTACCGCGCGATATCGCTCTCCAATGCAAGGCAATGGGGCAAAGGGTCCTGCTGTCGCGGGTCGTGCGTCGATACAGCAGGACCCTTTCTGGAGCGGATTTTGCCGCGATTCCATTCTTTGCAATGCAAGCATTTGCGCGATATTGCACGACAAATCGCGCGATATCGCGCAAAATGCAAATCGCGTGACAAACGCGCGATTTGCAAATCGCGCAGTGTGAATGGGGCCTTAGAAGAAGACTGATCATGTATACTTTTATCAGGAAGAAGATTATTACAGGTAGACTTTAGGTTTATTTTCACAGAGACAGTTTTAGTTTTTGTGCTAATTATACATGGGTTATATTTTGGGGCCACTTTGCATAAAGAATACTGTGTAACAGAATTTTAAAAATAGTCCATGACCCCTCCACTAGCTGACTGGCACATCAAGTCTCTATGAATTAACTACCTTTGTCCCTCATTTGTCTAGAGACATATGCTGTCTTTTGAACTAAAGTAAACCCATCATGAGACTGATATGGTGGCTGCCATCCCTGTCCTCTGAAAATGCCTTTTGAGTGACTGCTATGCTCAAATATTCGGAACTACTGTCTGTGAAGAAGTATACCAATTAGGAAAGTAAGAAAAAAGTCAGAAGCCCTTATCTGCACAATTTGATGCCGACTTTAAGGGGTTCTTAAGGCCCTGGAGGGGGAGATAGTCCTCCTGATCATGCGATTACTGTGTTTGGCTTTCACAGTGGTCCACTGGCCTGTCCAACTGGCTCCTGATCATAAACAGTGACTGGGAGATGTTGGTGACAGAATGGTCATTCTGCTAGGAGTATGCTAGTGATCTCCCTCTCAGTACAGAACAGTGAAGCCGGCTTATGTATACATACATGAGGCTGCTCTGTGTTAAAGGAGAACTATGAGATGAGTGATTTCATTTCACCTCATAGTTCTAGCCGACCTGTGACAGTGAGACTGTCACAGGTCGACTCAGTAGATCGAGAGGTGAGCGAACAGATACCGGCGTTCGCTCACCCCTCAATTCCCCCCTCCCCGCTCCGATCCGCGAGCGCTGACTGGCGGAACGGATGGGGGAAGAGGCGGGTACAGCTGGCTCTGCCTCTAGATAGGCAGAGCCAGCTGTCACTCACGCAGCTGGGCGGATCTCGACATCGATGTTGGGATCCGCTCCGGCTGCGGCGTCTCAGTATACCGCGAGCTGTAGCTCGCGGTATACTGAGCTTAGGGTAACGGGAGGACGCTAGTTTGTGTCCTCCCGTTACCCCAAGGAGAACTATGGGGAAAAACACTGACCCCATAGTTCTCCTTTAAGGCCCACTCACTGTGCTGCCACACACATACGTTATGCCAGGTGGAAGGCATTAAATACCACCAAAAGAAAGTTTTATCTGTCTCAAAAATGATGTACAATTCATTTGGGTACACTATTGTTTTACCAAGTAATTGTCATTCAAACGATGACAGCATTGAAAACAGCAGTGTGAAATTGCCTGGAAAGGAAGGGAATGTAACATGTTGATATTGAGATGGTTAAAGTATGGAACCCAGACACTTGTTACTCTCTGTATGTGCTCTCTCTAATACATAAAGGATTTACTTTGCAGCAATTCTGTAGCTCCGTGCAATTTTCAGTTTTTTCCTTGGTGGTCCCAATGGTAAGTGGTGGTTTCTGTCTCATGGTTAACTAATGAAAACTAGCACTCTATGCCCTGCAATGGCATAGTTGGTTTTAGGGCTGCAGCATCCCATTGTTGGATGGGGGAGAGCATATTTCTGAACTATCTTTTCTTGGAACTCCCTCCAGGCCAAATGACTCATAGTACAGAATTATACAGTCAGAATGAGTCTTAGCAATGACAATGTCTATACTTCTCTCATAAAAGGTTTTCTTTAAAGTGGAACTCCAACCAAAATCTTTTTCTAGTGCTTTACGGAGAAGAGAAGGTGTAGAACCTCTCTTAAACTTTTATTGCCATCTGTGTCCCTGTTGGTAAGTTTTCCCATCATTTTCTGTCCCTTCGCCAATGTCACAAGGGAAATCTCACAATGGCCACAGATGTTTCAGTGACAACTGTGAAAGTTGGAATTCCCCATGACTTTTGGAGATTTTATTTTCACTTGTGTCTCTGTGAATCTGACAGAAGTTCCAACCTTTTTGCATGCTGTGTAAATTTTAAAAGGATCTCAGCAGAACTTCATCTTTCGGTGCAGCATTATAATAGTAGACTTACACTTTTTCCACGGTCCTGGCTGGGCTCATTCTCTGCCAGTTCTCCAACATACAGCGGCTTGAGAAATTTCCTCACAAAATTCAGGTCAGGATGAAATGCATGGAAAGCTTCCTGTGTGAGAAACAATCAAGAGGTAATTTCTTGTTAATAAAGAATATTTCACAGCAGCAATTGAAAGCACTGTGAGCTTGTTGTACCACGTATCCTGGAGATGCTTGCTCAGTATGTTTTAATAGACAGCTCTGTGGCTGCTCAAGTAGGAGACAAGAAGGCAGCATTTTTACAGTGTCTCATGGGGACACCTTTTGTAAGAATAAGAGGCAAAGGACAGTTGGTGAGACAAACTATAAGTAGTGGAATAAAGAAATGCTGAGAAAATCGAGGGGGGGCACGGTCACTCCAGAGCAGCTCTGACTATAATCCAAGCAAAGTAAGGTCTGGCTCACATGGGCTTCAGCTTACATAATAGCAGTGTGCAGATCAGGCTCCTAAAAAGCATTTGCAAAGTTCTTTTTAAACTGGAGCAGACAGAATCTGGAGCAGTTGCAGACAGTAACCAACCAGCGTCTCTATTCAGTTTGTTTAATTAAGATTTGAAAATCAAATAGAGAAACTGATTGGTTGTCATGCCCAATTGCTCCACACTCTGTCTGCTCCAGTTTTAATAAATTCCCCTCAATGTATTTTACGTGCAGCGTGTGCAAGTTTCTAAACTTTTTTTGATCTCATTAGAGTGTGGGAATAGGACTGGGAGAGGAAAGACCAGTGTCAGGAACCAATCAGGTTCTGCTTCGGTGCACATGTGTTGGCAGTGAACATTATGATTGGAGAAGAGAGCAGAGAAACGATGACTCATGAATGTACAACTGTCCCTTCACTTTCCAATCAGCAGACTGCAGGTGTGCTTCTGACCATGTTGTGCTGCTGTTGTATTGGCGATCGATCAAGGATTTATCTGTGGTGCCTGGCAGGGGTGTCTGGAGTGCGATACTGTCTACAGAGAATTACAAATCCTTTCATAGGTAACATACTGTATTCTAATGTGGGCAGGTCTATGAAGTTCATAGAAGCCAGATTATAAACTTTTCCTTACATGTTGGGTGGGTGAGTCAACTTCCTGACTTTTGTATTGTTATTATTATACAGGATTTATATAGCACCTACAAAGGCAGGTGTAAATCTGATTGATAGATGTGAGGAACTTTATAGCACTCACAAGCTTTGTGTACTGTAAGTGGACAGCAAGGAGCAGTGGTTGTGTTTCCTTATACATTTCATTAATGACCTTTTCCTTAATTACAAAAGGAAAAACAATAGGGGTTCTCACATTACCAAAAAAAAAACAGTGAGATAGCCTGGTGCACTAAAGCAATAACTGGCTGAAAAACTGAGGCCCTGGGCTGGTAGGATATGTTCCCTGTATATCTCAAGACAAAGAAAAAAATGGAAAAGCGCACTACAAGGGGTCACCACTGGTCTGGGGATGGCCACAGTAAATTTAAAAACAGAAATTTTATTTTATAATAGCATTTAAAATTTGAGTTAAAAAAGTACTTAAAATAAAAAAATTTTTTTTTTACAATTAAAATGGAAATCCAGTAAGTTTAGTACACAGTGTGCAAGCTCTATGTAAGCAGGGTGAGGGACCCTGTATGAAATGATACTTGGCAAAAGATGGTTGAGAGCGCTCTAACTGTATGGAGAAGAGAAGAAAAAAACTTACGTTTTGGAATTTGCTGTGGTGTTTGGTCACGAAGGACTGATGTGGCTGGAACTAGTATGATATCACAGCAAGCTGAAGATGGCATCAGGGAGACATAAGGGGAGCCACCTCCAGGCTTGCTCCCCTTATGTCTCCCTGATGCCATCTTCAGCCTGCTGTGATATCATATGTGTTCCAGCCACATCAGTCCTTCGTGACCAAACACCACTGTATATCTCCAGCCCATTTTCAGTTTTGCCTGGTGTGGCAGTGCGTGGCAGTAGAGTGGCAAACTGGTCACCCGGGACTCTCAGCCAGAGGGGCTGAGCAGTTCCAGGACACAAGTACTTTTACCAGGAAAGAGCTGGCTTTACAATTCTTTCCGGGTTTTCTAAATTATAATTGGAATCCTGGAACTGGGAGATTTCTAAGAGAACTGGGAGGGATGAAATCTCCATTGCTGGGTCCGGGCTTTAGTGGTGACCAGCACCGAACGAAAAGGATGCTGGTACATGTTCAGCTGGAAGACAAGGGAGGTGTCTGTCCAGGAGTCAGGAGGACTCCATCCTGGAACCAGCCTATGTGGCAAGTCAGCTGGATACAGCCTGTGTGGGAGAGGTTTTAAGTGATTAACTGAAGTTGGTGAGACTTGGAAAAACATAACCCCTGTGAGGGAAACCTTCTGTGAACTATTAAATCTAACACTGGATAGTGCCTAAAATTTGTTTTTCATTTACCAGTTTATTTTCTTCTATGTCCAAGCGGGCTTGCCCTTCACTTCAGCAAGGCAGCAAGCAACCACAGTTTCAATGCAGGAGAGTTTTGCACATAAAGTTCATAGCATAAAACAAACAAAACATCTGCTTGTCTGGCCAACTAACTAAACTCAGGTGTTCTCCTGACTAACAAGGTGCCCTCTAATGGATTGCACAAAACAAACAGGCAGCACATGTATATGTTTTAGTTTTCTTTTAGCACTCAGCCTTTTCACCCAGCAGCTGAATCTCACAGAAAAGAGAACAATGGAGCCCTAAGCATCAGTCAACTCACAAAAAGACCCATGGACAGCTGAGACTAATAATGAGGTCTGGCTACAAGGTTAGATGTGGAACTAGCAATGGAGGTTTTATCCCATGCATAACTCTACAAAGTTTCCAGGGTCCAGGACCCAGAACAAAACTTATTAAGATTCTGAGAAAACAAAAAGTTTGTTTCTCCGTATCAGCCATCAGCTCTGGAGGCCTAACTATGTGTAAATGAGAAACCTAGGTGACACATATAGATTGTCCATAATCCTTCCAGCCAGTTCCTCAAAAGGCTGCAAAACTCCAAATAATTTTTTATGAATCAACAGCAATATAGCATAGTCAAAACTCTTCTGAATAGTTAGGCATGTATGCTTGCAACATGACAGCTTCAGGCTTGTTTCAGCCCTTCCTCAGGTCTGACACACCTAATATTAATTACCAAGTATCGTCTAAAAGCTCCAGAAACTGGAAATGACATAAGTGTAATGAAGTTAGTGATCCCACCTGAATCCACACTTGTCACTTGGGATATAGCTAGTCTATATACAGTACTTCCACTGAACATGGCCTAGGTCTACGAACATGATGTGGACTATTAGAAGCGTCTGCACAGTTTACTCAACTTGAAATTAAAAACGATTTATTTTATGTTTACGGATCATTACTATAGGCAGATGAGAGAGGTGTTGTGATGGGTTCACATGTTGCTCCCCCATGTGCCAATGTACTTATGAACATAATTGAGAATGTTCATGTTTTTGAACATCCACTTTTTATACAGAAGTGCATTGGCTGGTATCACTTCATAAATTACATTTTTGACATATGGAGAGGTCGACATGTGATCTCTGGAAGAGTTTGATGCCCACTTGAACTATATATACCCTGCTCTACAATTTTATCATTTTAGTGATGGAGAATCCATTCTATTTCTTGACACTCAGGCTCAGAGGGGATTGAGTAGAAAAATATCTTTCAAAACTTACAGATCATAATACACTGTTACGCTCTAGGAATTTCCAATTTCCTCCAAGTATATATACTGTATATCTATACCAAGGAGCTAACCTAAAAGAGCTAAAAGGGTAGTCAGTAATGAGGAACAATGGGAAATATGTTTCAAGGAAACGGAGAATAAATTAAACACTAGAGGTTACCTAAAGATAGTAATTAAGACAGTGACTAATCGTATTTGACAGGAAGAATTGGGATTTACATTGTCAGGGACAACTAATAAACACATTCACTTTGTAACACATTTCCACCCTTTTTCTGATCGAGTTAACTCAGTTGTAAAGAAACATTGGCATATCCTGAGAAATAGTTACCCAGGTATTTCAGAATTCCAGTTTGCACCATTACAAACAGTTAGGAGGGGCACTACAATTTCCAGAAGAGAAACCAAAACAGATAATCAAAGTAGGGAAGTAGAGGGACAGTCAGGGCCAGATTTACTTTCTCTGCTGCCCCAATGCCAGGTTCCTCAATACGCCCCCCTGTATGCAGGCTGCATACAAGTGATCTCGGCAACATCGCCAAGATCACTTGTACAAAACAAGCAGCTGCTTCCCGCTGTACAGACCTGCTTGCCCAAAGCAGGGCTAAATGTAGAAAACAACTACCCGCCCGGTGCCCGGTCTGAATGGAGAAAAAGCTGTCAGCTTCAGATTTGAAGCTGACAGCTTTTTCCTCCATAATACTAGGTGAGGCTCTGCCTCACCTTCCTCCCCGGACCGCACGTCCCTGCCTTATACATATACATACATATATTAAAGCTGAGGCTTCCAGACCCGAATGGCAATCGTGATCTCCCGAATGCTATTCGGAAATTCGTACTCCATTCGGGTCTTGGAGCATCAGCTTTTGTATCATGTATATATAATTAGTATTCTGTATTACAAACGAAAATTAATTGCGGGAACATTGGGAGCCATATATACATAAAACTAATGCTGAGGCTCCCAGAATTCGGATTCAGACCCATTCGGATGCATTAAACCGAAAAACACATCTGAATCTGATTGGCCAGAACAGACACATGTCCGATTCAATTTCATTTTTAAACATCATTCGGACGAGATCTGAAATTTCAAAAACGAAAATTCGGATTCGGACACATTCGGATGCATTGGGATACGGAAATTCGGATGTGTCTGAATGTCTGAATTTAATAAAAATTTGCACAAATTTTGATTCGGAACGAAATAAATCACACATGTCTATTTGGATGGCTGCAACCTGCTTCTTCTACATATATTGGGGACTGTATTGGTTGGGTAAATCCCAGTTTGTGAACACGCACAGGACTATTTAGGAGTGCTCT